CGCCTCCCCACAACCAATGAGTCTTTCTGATAAAGACGACTTTACCCTTGAAGATTTCGAGGAACTCCTAATGGCGTAATTTCTCACGTCATTAGCCCTACAAAGACCATTTTGCCCTTGAAGGTTTCGAGGAGCTTCTCATGACGTAAGCCCTTACGTCATACACGGCTGTATCAAAAGACGACAAAGGTTAATGGCAGATAATGATATCTTGCTACCTTGTCACGATTCCTCTTCCGTTACATGTTGTTAGGCCCATTAAGCCTTGCATGTTAATGACTGGTAAGATTGAATCAGTCTTTTGATAAAATGTAAAAAAAAAAAAAATTATTGAATGAATGTCACTATTTTTGTCTTTTAGTGACGTTACTATTTTTGTTTTGTTTTTAGTGAGGAAGTTTCCTCCGTAGGATTACTTCTTTGCTAAGTTTTGAGACCCATTAGTCATAAAGTGGGTCCCACATGTAAATTACTATTCATTAGTTTAATATTTTTGTTTTTCTATATAAGGCTTCGTAAGTCCCTTATGCTCGGGCGAAGCTTAAGTTAGTAAGCATTCCCTCTCTCTCTCTCTCTCTTCTCCTCCTTCTCTCTACTTCTCCCCGCTTATGTAAATTTCTTACTATCAATAAGAGAAGTTATTCAAGATCTCCCCTCTCCTTCTCCTTCTCTTCCCCCAAGTAAGTGCTCTCTCGCTCCCCCTTATGGAGTAGTTTTCTTATAAGGGCGTCCTCTGATGCCTTAAGCTTTATTTATTTAAAGATGCGATAATCATTTAAAGGCTTAAATAAATTTTTGTACAGCTTTGTTTGTGTTCATATAAGCTTATGAGGAGATGTCTAACCTGGCCTCGCGTATTCAGCCATCTCATAATCTTATCATGGACTTGTGTGTTTATTTTTCCCGTCTTTAAATTTCTGCATTTAATTTCGTTCATGTAAGCTTATGAGGAGATGTCTAACCGGCTATGCCGCATTCATTCATCTCATAATCTTATGTGTGAACACTTTTCTTGCTATAACCGACTTTATCTCTGACAGCCTTCATTTTAGCTAGCCCGGTTTCGGGTTCTCTCGTGAGCTAAGTAGCCACGTTGACCGACGTAAGAGATAAAGAGTTATAACATGTTTTAATTTATTTGTTTTCTGTCTCTTTACTTTCCTCCTTTCCATCCCCTTTCGGGTCTCAGGGCAGTTTATTCTGGGTTCATTCTCGGTTCTCTCTGTCTTGTTTGCCCTTCTGGTATCTTAGCAGGTTTTCCTGCTTTCTCTGTACCTTATGTGTTTGGGGTACTCAGTTATCTGAGTTTCCACCCCTCCTGTCCCTCCCCCCTCTCTCTCCTCTCTCTCTTCTCCTCCTTCTCTCTACTTCTCCCTCGCTTATGTAAATTTCTTACTATCAATAAGAGAAGTTATTCAGCATCTCCCCTCTCCTTCTCCTTCTCTTCCCCCCAAGTAAGTGCTCTCTGCTCCCCCTTATTTACTTTCCTCTACATTTAAATAATAATATATATATCATAAATTATAAATAATTAATTAATTTATTCAATAATAAATGATATTTTATATTTTAATTTCAACTATATGAAAAACTGAACCGAACGATTTTAATAAATTTAATAATAAAATCTTAACAAAATTATAAGTTTTATTTATTTATTTGGATTAATTTTCTAGTTTATTTTTGCATTGGTCTAGTGTTGAACACTTTTACTACTTATAACATTTCTGTCTTCTTAAAACTCTTTCTACTTTTATTTATCTTTAACAATGCATAATTTAAAAATTTAATATTTATATTTTAAATTAATATACATATATATATATATATATATATATATTAAATCTAATTTATTAATTTAAAAAATATAATAAAAAAAATAAGGACACACTTTATATTAGGGGAAGAGTAGTCTAATTAAAAAATTCAAAATAATATAATTTTATTTATCATTGATAATTATTACTTATTTTTATATTTTAATTATTTATTACTATTACTAAAAATTTGATTTATATTTTATTAAATAGTTTATTTTGTTTTCAATTACTGTTTATTATTACTATAAAAATTTTGATTTATACTTTATTAAATAATTTATTATTTTATTTGAAAATACATTTTTTTAGTAATATAGATTTTTATTGAATAAATAATAAATAAACATTTAAAAATTAAAATAAAAATATCTTCATATAAAAAATAAAAATTAAAGGATGTTTTAAATCAAAGGATTGAGTGAAGAGAGTGACAGAGGAGATAAAGATAACGGAAAATAATATTGTTTAAATTAAGAAAAAGATAAATAAAATAAATAAAAATATATTAAAATATATTAAAATATTATAATATATTAAAAAAATAATAAAAAAAATAAATAAATAATCAAATATTTTTAATATAAATAAGTATAAATTAAAATTAAGATATGATTTAATATAAATTCTTATTTAATAAAATGAATAAAAATAAAAATAAATTTATATATAAACGAAAGATAAAATTATGATATTCTTTTAACGTATTTATATTTTATAAGTATTATGAAATTGTAAAAATTATTTTAAAAATTATAATATAATTTTTATATGTTTTAGTATTATTTTAAAACTCAATAAAATAAAAATAAATATTACAAATTTTATTAATTAAAAATGACTGATTTTTATATACTTTAAAAAATATATAAATTATATATATATATATATATATATATATATATATATATTATATGAATACAATTTCTACCTATTATAATATTGTTTTCTCATACAAAATTCATTAATTTATGACACTCACTAATATAATAATATCATATTCAATGACAATCACTCTCTAAACACGCTCACATACAACACCAATTTAGATGATCCTAAAAATTGAAAAATAAAATAAAATAAATAATTAGAAATAATTGGATGTCATAAAATTATTTTATCATTTTGTTTTCTCATCTAGCATTTTTACTTTACATGTCTAAAATAAATTAGTTTGGTAAAAAATAATTATAAAATATTTTAATAATTACTTTTGTTTTGATACAAAATTAGTATGACTAAAATTGAAATTTAATTGGAGCAACTATAAAGATAAATGATTTTGTTAAAATTAATTGAGAGTAACATATTTTAGGTAACATATTATGTATTTAATTTTTTATTAAATATATCTTAAATTCACCATCACAGGAAAAAAAAACTATTTTAAGATTATGAGTTTGAGTACAGACATGAACATCTTTTAATGTTTTATGTGTATTTTATTTTTATAGACACAAAATTAAAAATCCATTTGATGAGTTATTAAAAATAAATTACTAAAAAAACAGTGACTTAATAAATAATTATATACATTTGGAGACTCTCTGTTATTGTAATTACCCGTTACACTTGCAAAATCAATGAGTATACACAATCAATTTTTTATTTTACAGTGTATGTAGAAACTAAAGGTGTGAAAAAACAAAATAAAGAAATATAGAAACATTAAAAATATTTCTACCTTAATAGCAAACAAATGAAAAAAAATGATAATAATATCAACAAAAAATTATCTTAACCGAATATAATTTATTATAATTATATTTCACAACAAACATGCACTCAAATAAATATATAACTAATTATATATATATATATATAACTAATTATATATATATATATATATATATATATATATATATTACCAATTGTGTCATATATTAACGTGTAATCAATTTTCTTATATATTTATTAATTTAAACATATATTATTATTCATTTATTCATTTATTTTTATTTTCTTTTTAGACATCCTTATTTTATGTGTACTTTTTTCTCTCTCTTTGTTTTGCACCTACCAATTAAATAAAGGAAAACCATAAAAGTGGTTTGTCTAAACATTTTAATGAGTTATTAAAAATATATGGTTGTAACAGTAAAAAAAAGGTTTGACTGGTAGTTATTTTCATGTAATAAATACACATTATTACTACGAAATTACTACTATGAATTCATACAAGTAATATATATATATATATATATATATATATATATATATATATATATATGAATATATATTCATAAATATATTTGAAATTTCATAGTATTGAAAAATATTAAAGTTACAGTTAAAAAAACTATCATATTTATGCATAATACTATCCAACCAACCTTTTAGTAACATGGAGTGATTAAATAAGTTTGATCACTCACTAATTTGATTTTTAGAGTATTACCCTTTTTTTAAATATTCTTTAAGTAAAACAAATCACTTGACTAATTTTACTATTTTCGTAACCTCTTTAATATTTAAACCCTTCATGTTAGTCTCTAAGATTCATGTTTACTAAATTAAGGAATATTCAATATGTCATAAGTTAATGATTTTACAACTTTATAACATAGTTACGAAATAAAAGAGTAATTAACAAATGAAATTAGCGTTATTCTTTTTGTTTTTTCTTAAATTCATATAAATTTATTACTGCTTGCATAGGTAGGTTACTCATGAGATCTAAGAATTAGAAGCAGCAGTAAAAAAATAGAAATGAAAACAATTAATAATAATAATAATTATTATTATTATTATTATTATTATTATTATTATTAGTGATATTATCATGATAACGTGTATCACGGAGGTGCGAAGGAAAAAGCGGGTAAAAGTAAATTGGTGCGAGAAAAAGAAAGAGAAGGGAAAAGAAGAGAAAGGAAAAGAAAATAAGAGAGAAAAAAAGGGGTTGGTTCCTTGTTTGATTATCGACGGCGCACTATCCGATCCCCACAATCCAGGGGAACCTTATTTTCACCCATTCAATTTCCACAACCTAAATTTCAATCCCTTTTGTCTTTCCGAGAGAAAATAAAAATAATTCAAAAATCCAATTTCGCAAATCCAAAATTCCCTCCCTCCTTTGCCCTTTTCTCTCTCCTTTTTCTGTAACAACATCATCATCATCGATTAGTTCAAAGACAGTCCGAGAGAGTGAGTATAGAAGGTTTGGTTAGGTATCATCCATCGATGGCGGGGTACAAGGCAGATGACGAGTACGATTACCTTTTCAAGCTGGTTCTGATCGGCGATTCCGGCGTGGGGAAGTCCAACCTCCTATCGCGCTTTACGCGGAACGAGTTCAATTTGGAGTCCAAGTCCACCATAGGGGTTGAATTCGCCACCAAGAGTTTGACTATCGATGCCAAGGTCATTAAGGCTCAGATTTGGGACACTGCTGGCCAGGAAAGGTTTCATCCCTTTTTCAATTCAATTATTCTTTCTACAAATTTCGATCTGTTATTCTCATTGGAACTGCTTTTGTGTTGTTGTTGTTATTACCCTTTTGAAGTGTTCGGACTGAGATGTCGGATGCCGCTTCAATTGACAGTTTTGATTGCTTGATTTAGTTTATTAATTTGGATTACGATGTGGTGAAGGATTTCAGTTTTGTTTATCTGATACGGCATTTGTGGATTTGGGTGCTTTAGAATTTATATTTGGGGTTGAAATTAGAGATATGTTTTTTCGTGAGTGTGATCAAAATGCGTAGACATCGTGAATCGTTTGCCATTGGTTTAAAAAACATGCATAAGCACGTTCTAACATCGATTGATTCATGGGTTTGAGGAGGCTGGGCTGTATGTTTCTTTGAAATGTCATTTGTTGATAGAGCTAGGAAAGTGTTGATTATTTCTTATAGCCCTTATTGCTTTGGTAATGTGACGTACAATAAGTTCTTCTGAGTTTTTTTTTTTTTTTTTTTTTTATTATTATTATTATTATTATCTTTCTTTAGTTATAAGGTCACTTGTGAAATTAGTGTAATTTTGGAGTATCTGATAATGTTTCAATTGAAAAAAAAAAACATTAGATTGGTTGTGGTAACATGTTATTTTCCAATTGACCATTTAAAATACTTTATTACATTGTGTAATGTTTAAAAGTCTGTTGCTCTGGTACCCCTAAATGGATTTGTATAATTCAAGTTTTTGTTTATACTTGAGTGAGTGTGTGTTGGTATATATATATATTTCTATCGAAGTCCTTAACCCCAAATATATACTAGTGCAGAGTAGTGGGCTGACCGCTATTTCGGAAAATACACATCATAAATTATGCTACACACTTATACTGGAAATAGTAATAAAGGTCTAAATTAATGACATTCGTATTATTGATCAACTTCAGAATTTTATAACTAAACACACATGTCTGAAACGGAAAGGCTGAAATGGTAATGGACTGTCCTGTACAGTTTTGGACATGCTGGAAACTGGATAGCAAAAGATGTGTGCCACTGGGAACTGGCCAGACATGACGTGTGCTGCCAAAAATGTTTCCAGATAGAGCTGGACTTAATCGGGGATGGTGAGGCTAAGATTCCAGATTTTCCCGTGCACACATGATGAGGGTGGGAAAGGGAAAAGGGTTTCTGTCCTTGGTTAAATGAAGGGGTGGTGATGAGAGGGGAAATAGCTTCTGGCATGGTTTCTGGTTTTATGCCACAGCCACTCAATGATGGTCTTTCAAAGGAACATTTTCTCAAGTTTTGATTAAAAAAAAAAGACCAGACATTGAATTGGTTCAGCTTAAAATTGGTGAACTGGTTAGGTGTCTGATTTATTTAGGCCGCAAAACCGTATTAGAAAATAACTAGATGAACTGGACAAACCAGTACAAGTAGATGAAGTGGTTAACACCAGTTTAAATTTATATTTTATCTTATTCCTATTTAACTGATAATATTTATTAATGCCCACATATCAGAGAATTGTTCGCTCGCATCTTAGCAATATGTTATAAGCTTGGATGTTCCACTTAAAATCTTATGTGAAAACATGCTATATACTCCTCTTAGTTTTAACATTGATTTAATTTAAAAATATTGAAACAACACATGTTCTACTCTGGTCATCATAATATGTTGAAGGAGCGTACTTTGATATTGATAATTAGAGTAGGCAAGTCTATTTTTAACTTCATGTAAGTGCTTTTTAAATTTAATATCTAAATCGTATTAGTAAATACTGGTAAAACGGGTTAGTTTATCTTATTTTTTGATCCGTCCCGCTGCGAGTCTACCAAAGACGGGATGGGTCAAACGGCCCATACATGTTAGCAGTCAACCTACAAATATATCTTTTTTTTATAAAATTTATATATATATATATATATATATATATATTTAAATACACTTATTTTAAAGTTTTTATTTATTAATTAATATTTTTATTAGATAAATTAAAAAAATTATTATATTTGTGTTAAAATACTTAATTATAACCAATAATTTAAATTTAATTTGTTAATATTTATAATTTAATTTATAATATTATAATATATTTTATATTTCAACATGACAAAAAAATATAATCTTTTTAATTATAATTATAATTATTTTTATTTTAACATATAAATATCTTTTTAAAATGGGTAAGCGGGCTAGTCTTGTCGTACCCTTGGCTTACTAGGTTGACAAGTTAAAACTACCAATCCGTCTTGTCATTTTTTAGACAGACTAGCATGCCGATCTATCGGCTCTAACCCGTTTTCTCAACTTTAAGTACCGGGTTGTAAACAATGTGCACAGTGATTTCTATGGGGTATTACTCATTGCATTGCTTAGACTAGCCTTAAGAAGCTTCTAATTTCATATTTTTTTTTTTTAAGGTTAGTTCCTTAACAAAATAGAAAGTTATATAATAAATGATATAGGATAACATGAAATTTCTATCATCTATAATTGCTTTACTGCCTTTGAAATTTTCTCTTAATTTATTGTTATATATACACAAGCATCTAGAACCTGAACATTTGTCCAAGGAATATGTCATTTTTACTTTAAATTCAATTACTTGGACAGCAGTCCAATTTGGCGCTGTAGGTGCATATGCATCTTGCAAACCTCGTCCTTACTAATAATCTATGTGTGCCCCTGGTGAACTTATGTCCAATACCTAGGTCTTGATTAAATTTTTGTGTGGCTAGGGTAGTCCGGTTCAGCTTGTTTCACACGTTTTGTATGTTACCCTTATTTAATTATGGTACATAATACGCAAAGGGATATTTGAAAGAGTTTATTTGGGCTTATAAAAGTGGCTTTTGACCTTTCTATAAGTTTATTTAAAAAAAAAAAAAACTTGTTTGCTAACCAGTGCCCGGGGGCTTATTAAAAAGTTAAAATGAGAAAGTTTTTATTGAAAATCTTATAGGAGCGCAATGAAAAATTATAAGGGAGGACATCTTTACGCATCTCAATAAAAAAAATCCTTTTAATTCCTTAAACAGTATCCTAACATTTTCCTTTTTAACTTCTTCATGTAAAAGCCTATAAGATACAATGTTTTTAATTTTTTGATCTTACTCAAATAAGTTTCACATTCAAGCTTATGAGTAAGTTCTCATATGGTAAGTGCTTATTCAATGGTTGCTTAATTAATATATTCACCTAGATGCATCCTAAATGGATATATGGAGAACAGATGTAAGTATGATGGAGCTGCTGAATCTAGTTGCTTTGACTCCATCAAACAGAAGCTTCCGATTTCCGAGTTAATATGAACTCCTGCTCTCATATAATGAGTTATTTATCACTTATAAAATTGAATGAGCTGACATTAATATTCCATACTATGGGTCTGATTATATTCTGTCATGTCTACTCTATTTTTGATATTTTTCAAAGGAAACATTGTTGCAAGCAAAATATTTTCTGCAGAGGTTGTTCTAAATCTGAAAAGGATAAAATTTAACTGTTATTCTTCAATTAAAATTAGAGGTTTTCCTGGGTAACCCATGGTGAGCTGTAATGCCGACCTATAGTGACTCTAATTTTGATTGGGAAAAACAGCACCACTAGTACTTACGATACTGGACTTAAGTTTTGTCTTATAAAAATGCATACTCTTTAATACTGGTCATTGCGAGTACAATGGAATTTTTCTGATGAGATGTCTATGAGAAGCTGAAATAGTTCTAAATTTGTGTTGCAATGTAATAAATACATCCACACACTTTGAATTTTTTGTTGCTATCTTAGGTACCGTGCCATTACTAGTGCTTACTACCGAGGAGCTGTTGGTGCCTTACTTGTCTATGATGTCACACGCCGTGCCACATTTGAGAATGCTGCGAGATGGTTGAAAGAGCTGAGAGATCACACAGACCCCAACATTGTGGTCATGCTTATTGGAAATAAGTCGGATCTTCGACACCTTGTTGCTGTTCCAACAGAAGATGGGAAATCTTTTGCAGAGAAGGAATCTCTCTACTTCATGGAGACTTCTGCTTTAGAAGCAACCAATGTTGAAAATGCATTTACAGAGGTTCTTTCTCAGATTTATCGCATAGTGAGCAAGAGAGCAGTTGAGGCCGGCGACAATGGCAGTTCTTCTACTGTCCCATCTAAAGGACAGACTATAAACGTTAAAGATGATTCCTCAGTTTTGAAGAAAATTGGATGCTGCTCAAACTAGATGTGCTTCATCTGTGGCAGTGTTTTTATGGCCTGTTTCATCTTGTAAATGCCGACACTGGAATCGTGATATCGTGTAGAATAAGGCTAGTCTTGCATTATATTTTGGACAGCGTTTACAATTTACAAGCATCATCCATACGCAAGATTTATGTTTGGTAAAACGGTCATTCTAAGACGTATTTGAAACAAATAGGTCTACACCCAAGTTCATATAGTTTTAAGTTTTATTTGAAAGGATCTTGATATTTGCTATTATTCTCTAGTTATGGTGCAGCTAGTGACAGTTCCAACATTTATTTTAGAGATGAAGTTAAGGTGTGGAGTCCTTGTGTTTGGTTTCTTTGAAGTTTTCTATAAATCATATGGATTGTACATGGTCAGGGTTGAAGTTATTTTTTATCGTTTAATATAAAATTAAAAATAAAAATAATGTCTCTAAAATTACCATATTGGCAACATTTTTTATTTGAATTCGAATACTATAGGGCTTTTTTCCTTTTTGCTTAATTTGGTATTGTTTTAATAGAAAATGAGAAAATTATTACCACAATATGAACATTAGGTCCTTTTAAAAAAAAAAATCCCACCCATTTTATACATCAAATGTAGGCTTGTTAATGTCTACAACTTGAGCTGTTTCTGTTTGCTTAATTTGAACTCTTTATCCAAGTAGAACTAAAATTTCCTTATGAATGATTTGCTTTCAACGTAGAAATGCTTAGTATTTGAAAGAATTTAAAAATACGGACAACTTTAGGAAAATTGTCAAATACATCTTGTACTAATCATTTTAAACTAAAATTATTATAGTAGAAAGGAGTCGAGCAAATTAACGTCTAATAAGTTGATTTAAATTGTTAATTAATATACGAATAGGTTCACGACAAGGTATGTGTTCGGGTTGTTTTGTTAAGACGATGGAGGCATCAAACATTAGTAATAATCGTTATGGACCATGAAAAGAAAGGTTCAAGACTAGTGTTTACACAGCAAAACTTACAATAGAGGAAATGCAAAGAATTTTGACCACATGAGTTGGCTAAGAAGCTACAGATTTCCAAATGACCGTAAGCAGTTCAAGAAAGGGACTGTACAAAATATAGGTTTTGCTTAAATTCCTTCAAAATAACTTACGGAATACCAAAAATGGTAATCATAAAATTTTGCATGTAAAAGACATACTCAACAATAATTTTAACTCAACCTTCTAATTTCTTGTACTGGGAATTATCATTACCTGCACGGCACGCATTATCATGCAAGAAAGAAATCATGTTTGTTTCTTAAACAATTTCGTCCACACTTGATCACAAATTTTGCTACATATAAAATAAACAATTATGATATGCTAATATAGTCTCGCTTCTGTAAATGACACCAACAAAACAAATAGGGATTTTCTCAGAGAGTTTTTTGCAGTGGTTTTATATAAAAAACTGTACATAACTTTTATTTTACTCATATTTTAATTTAAATATGTTTCCAATCGTATAAATATGATAGTTTCTATTTTCTCCTTGAAATCCTTACTCGACACATTACTAGCAAGAAATTTTAGTTGTAATAAGATCGTTATTTTATTTATATATATATATATATATATATATAATTTTTTTTTTTTTTCTGGAGAGAATCTTGGAACAATGATGATGAGGTGCACGTGGATTCTAATCTGTACAGAAGAAAAAACAAGGTTGGAGCAATTCTTCAGAAGAAGGTAACCTGCTGTAATTAATTGCTTATTATTATTCAAATATACAACACGAAAAAAAAAAAAAGAAGAAATCCATGAATTGTAAATTAATTTATTAATTATTTCTTTACGATTCCAATTTTTTAATAGCGCACGATTTTCAGGCCGCGAATATAATAATATCACTACGTAATAACGCGGGGCCAAAGAAAAAGAGTCCAGCCGCGTTATCTTGTGATGCCGCCGCACCGGATCGCGCTGCTCCTCGGAATATTCCTCCGCCGGAAAACCACCGAACATTCCGGCAACTCATCTAGATCGGCGAAGAGCGACTCATCCTCCTCCCTCATCGGCATCGCCACGTCATCCACCTCGCCACAGATTGGGCTCTCGAGGACACCCGTAGAGGCCACGTCATCGAACCACCGGAAGTGGTGGTGGCTGAGCAGAACCGCCGAATCACCGGCGAGTTCAAAGTCGGAGTGAGTTGCGAACACGGCCATCTCCTCCTCCGGCGGGAACCTAGCGGCAGACTCGGCCGGCGAGGAGGCGGCGGTGGAATTGGATTTTGGGAGGGGGATGGAGTGGTTGTGGTCGTTGGCGTAGGTGACTATGAGCTTTGTGGGGTCCACACGGCTTCGCTCAACTTGCTTCCTTGCGGGACACCCCTTTGAACTACTGCATCGGTAATATCCCCTGCATTTTCAGATTCAAATTTATTATTATTAATTAATAATTGCTTAATTAATTAATCATTACTGTGAATCAAAAGAAAAAATAAAATGGAAAATCTTAAGAGAGAAGGAAAAGAGTGATGTGGATTGGAACGGTAATCCAAAACAAAACCAGCGAAAATGGCACTTTCATGAATTTTGCTTATCTGAAGCGCGTGGTTTTCAATCCCAATTCCTTAATCCAAGACTACGTTCCATTTTTTATTTATCTTATAAATATTAAAATTTAAACGAAATGGGATTAAAATGAATTCAAATAACATTTAAAAAAATTAAAGGAAATATTAATATCTAGTAGAAATTGTTGTAATTATTTTTGCCTCCTCGTGTCCTATAATTACAAACGTGACATCATATAAACTGATTATTTTTGGCAAATGTAATGATTTTTATTTAGTGGGAAGTTATCCTAAGTGATGAAAACAATGTTGCATGAAAAATAATACATGCATAATAATCTCACATGCTCTTATTCTGGTCACGGTGTTTATGCAACTCAAACTTATAAAACCCAATTAATAAAAATGAAATGAGATAAACCGAAAAGAAGAAAAAAAAAAAAAAAAAAAAAACGTTCACTTTCATAAACAAAAAGATCGAACATAGAAAATGACGGCTTCTCCTGATTTTTATATTCCATAATTATTGTGGCGTGAAGGCAACGCGGTTCGTAGGTCGCGTGTGCGGTCACAACAACCAAACCACACCCACAACCCCGATGCGCATTTTAGCACACCCGGTTTTTCCACGGCGGCGGCAGCCACACACTTCCAATTCTAGAAAACAACTTTGAATTATTTGATTATTCGGAACGATATTTAGCATTCGTCAGTTCAATTTGTACAATCCTTCAAATTAAAGCTAATTAACATGTGATTTGTTTTGCTAAAAAGTGATGATTAAGGAAAACAATCAAGGTAAGTGAATGTGTGTGCCCAAAGGTGGTGTATAAATAGAGCATACCTTGGGTAAGGGGAGCCTTTGATGGGCTTTTGGCCGTACTTTCTCCAGGCCCATGAATCAGACGGTGGATACGTCTCTCCTTTGCTCTTAGATCCATCCACGTCACCGATCGGTATCGTCACCACCCTCTTCTTCATCTCACTCCTACGTATGGTGTCATGAACGTTAACCTTTCAACGTTTTTAACTTCCCAATTCCCATGAAAGAAACAGATAAAGAAAAGCAAAGATAAAAATAAAACCTTTTCTTGGGTGACGGTGCTTCAGTTTTAGTGTCGTCACCTGAAGAAGGAGAAGCAGGCCCAGCTTCTGGTTCGACCTCATCTGGGTCAGCCACGTGTATTGGTGTGTTGAATCTACGGTTGTACATGACGGGCTGCAGTAAAATTAAATCTGGGTGTGTATGATTTGGTATGTGGTGGAAAGAGTGAACAGGTGAGTGGGGATTGGGTTGAGAAGAGAAGAAGGGTGAGAGTGAGAGAGAAGGGGTTGGAGTTGGTGTTTAATATGAGCCGCCATGGTGACAGATAGGCAGCATTGTAGTTTATTGTGGACGTGCAAGCAAATACCCATTTAATAAAACATTTCTACATGGGAGGGGTTTTATTTGATGAAGTTAGGTTCATGATAAACAATGTTTTGGCTTCATTTATTGTTTCATCTCTCATCACCCTATTAGTCTATGTTTGAATATGTATACTGCATTATTATTGGCTAGGGTTAGTAAAATATAGATGTAATGCATCAATTTTTCAAATTGTGTAGGTTGTGTTTGGTGAAACCGCACCATGGTTTATGCCATAAAACCAAAATATTTGCATGTGGTTTTAGAGTTTCTGGGATTTTGTTCAGTAAAACACTGTGTTTTGTTCGTCTGCTACTAAAACTACTAAGTGAAATTTCTGACATTTTTCGATGAAGTGTGAAAACAATAAATTATTGTTAGCTTGTTTAAGAGACTTTTAAATACAAATGGGACTAGTTATATATATATATATATATATATATATATATATATATATATATATATATATATATATATATATTAATCTAATTAATGTAGAGAAAAAGAAATATACAAAACTACATACACAGTTAAAAATATTTTTAAAATTTAAAAATCTGTTTAGCACACCTTAGGCACCTATAATGTGATTTGGACTTATCAGTACCACAACTTAAACTGCACAAAATAGAGTGATAAGATATGACACATACTAATATTGTTAATATTGTGAGGCTTCTATAACTCATTTTCATAATATTTTAACAAAGCTTTAACTATAATTTTCTTAGCCCAAAATTTTTTTTATTTTTTTCTTGTCATGCCCTAATATCTCGGATATTATAGTTCATTTGTTTAAATAAACTGTGACCTTAACTACTGTTTTGTAATCACGTCATGCTAAAACCAAAACCATTTAGAAAAGTGGCAAATCAAGATTCAAATGTTTGGTGAAAGAGATGATAACATTTGATGATTCAAATTAATTATGTCATTTACAGAATACATTTTGTGGGACAAAAAACCTTAATCAAAAGTAAAACAAATCTATAATTGATGTTTTGTCACGTAGGAAAAAATTTGTCGGTATTCATATATACATATCCATTAAAAAGGGTTTAGTTTTAAAAAAAAATCTTATAAATATCAATAATAAATAAAGCGTTATTACGTAAACATGAATGAAGACATTTCAATTTGTAAATCACTAATTATTGGTCCGGTTCTTTCGCTTTGGATTTGATTATCATTTGGTCTAATTGACTCTTTTATAATTAAACAGTTGCAATCATATCCTATAATTTTGCCAACTGGTTGTTTATGAACATTTTTTTTCTAAGGTACTATATTCTTAATATTAAAGACGATGTGATTCTTATAAATAATAATAGCGTTGTGATAATGAAGGATTATTAAAATGCTAACTCTGACATGAAGACATGCATATATTAATTGGTTTTGTAGTTAACTTGTAATTAGGGTTCAAATAGCGATTAGATTAAGCAATAACGTACTTGTTGTCTTCATTTGACGGGGTGGTTGGGAAATTAAATAAGAAAATAATTCATTTTGAATGCATGGGGTTGAAAATTGAAATCCACCTAATTCTTTTAAGAGCTTTGGACAAAATTAAGTCACATGGAATAATAATACCTATAAATATTATATTTTTCAAAAATTTCTTAAATAAAATCTTTATTAATTTATTTATTTAAGTAGACCGATTTATTATTCATATTCAGGTTTTCTTCTTTTCAATTTTTCTTTTCTATCTTCATTCATTCCTTGATTTCTCACTTTTCTATCTTAAGTTTTTTCTCTTTTTTTCTCTTTCGTCTCTTTCTCTTATTCTTCTAGCTAAACTACTGTATTAAAATATAATAAAAATATGTTAAATAAATATTTTAAATCAACAATAAAACTAAAAAATATTAATTAATTATTTAAAATTATGCGACAGTAAATAATTTTATTTATTTTGATATTAATTTAAAATTATTTTATTATAATAAATAATTATTTATCTAATTAAAAAATATTAAATATTTATAAGTTAAATATATTTTTATTTACTAATTTAATTTAGTTATAATTAGATTGAATTATGATAATTAGTTAGATGAGATAATTTAAAAAAAAATTATTAAAAAATAGTTTTAACTAAATATTTAATTTTTGTTAATAATTATAAAATAATAATAATAATAATAATAATATTTGTAGTATTTCAAATTTATCATATAATATTTTTTTAAATATAATATATTAAATTATAGTATTTTTATATCATTTGAATATTTTTATTTTTCAGACTTACTCTATCAATCTACTATATTTAACTAAAGAATAAGATGGAAAGAGAAAAAAATAAAAAGAGAGGAATGAGAAATAAATGAAAAAAAAATAAAGAAGTATTACAGTATTATGTAAGATTAATTTTTTTTCTTTATTAAATTTTGTATATCAATAATACACCGGTCTAATTGTATAAATAAACTTAAAAAAATTATATTTAAATAATTTTTTAAAATATATTATTTATAAGATTAATTCTACCATAAAAATTATTGTTTGAATTGAATTTAAAGATTTTTTTTATAATATATTAATCTCCTTTAAATTCCATCACATCGAACAATTTTTTTTTATTTTATAAAATTCATTATAATTTATGAGATTTAAAATTAAGGACTAACTTCTTCTTTTTTTCATACAAAAATTATATCCTTTGCGTGTTCTATGTTTATGGTGGGAACACAAATACAATACAAGACGAAAGTAAATAATAAGAACACAAAAATTTACGTGATTTAGTCAAATTGACCTACGTCCACAATTACACTGGATGATAGTTCTCATTCACTCAATTAAGTTTACAATTACATGAGTATTTATAATAAAAGAATAAGTAAATGGGTCAGACCTAATAACCTTTCAGACTCCACATACTTAACAATCTCCCACTTGGAGGCTAATCACATCAAGCACACTCCAAAGTAAATATAGTAAACCTTAAAGTTATAACAACCTCAAACTAGTGCAATATTTTCTCAGCAATTAACCATGAACGCCATTGAAGTGATGCAAAACTTCAACTTCTCAATAGTAACCACCTTGATTAACATATATGCAGGATTCTCTGACCTAAGGATCTTCTTTAAAAACAAAGTATCATCACTTATTAGTTCTCTAATGAAGTGATACCTCAACTGGATGTGCTTTGTTCTTGCATGAAAAACAAGATTCTTTGAAAGATGAATGACGCTCTGACTATCACTAAGACTCTATCTAGTCTTTAGGAATCATCTTGGACTTGCTTGAGTCATCATCTTTATCAAAAACATATCTTTGGCATGTAGGAAAATGTTTCACATTTTTGTTAGAAAAGTAGTTTTAGATCAAGAGGGGGGTGAATTGATCTTTGAAAGTTTTTCGCAAATAACAGATTATATAATTCAAAAATTAAGTTTAAAGATCTTTTCTTGAATCTCAAAGCAATCAATCAAAATAATGCAGCAACAGAATTTAAAGGAGAGAAAGGTTAAGAAAGATATCACCGGTATTTTATACTGGTTCACCCAATACCAGGGCTACGTCCAGTCTCCAGCCAAATTTCAGCTGGGTTCCACTAGATTAAATGTTTTACAGATTCAACAATCTTACACCTAATCTATCACAAGAACCAAATTCCAGTTCCTGCACTCAACCTCTCACCAAGAACCAAATTCCAGTTCTTGATAACCTCTACAACCAAATTCCAGCTAGCAGAGAAACCAAGTGCCCAAATTTCGGGCACCAACACCTAACCTTTCACCAAGAACCAAATTCTAGTTCTTGACAACCTCTACAACCAAATTCCAGCTGCAGAGAAACCAGTGCCCAAATTCCAGGCACCAAACAATACAAAAAGAATGTAAAAGAATTGAAAAAGAAGAAACTAGAAAGCTCAAACCAGTTTATGCTATTCTCGAGTGAGTTTCTTCTTTAAAGAAAAGCAATATGCCTCAAGAAAGATTTTTAAAGAACTTCACAAAAACTGCGCGAATCTTTCTTGAAAAGAGTGTTAAAGTTGCTTGATTGATTGCTTAAGGATGTGTGAAAACTTATATTCAATGTGTGTTTAAAAAGTTCAAGCCAAACTATTTTTAAAGAGTATTTTCAAAACTGTTGCATTAATTAATCTGTTAAAAGTTTGTTTTAATATGTTGAAATAGCCGTTTCAATCTATTAAAAGTCCTTTCAACCCATTAATACGTTCTTGATTCTTTAACAGATTTGTTTTAGCTGATACAACAACGTTTATATCAGTTAAAACACTTTACAAAAAATCTTCTAAGTTAATTCAATCGATTCTTTCGCGTTTTAATCGATTGAAATATCGCAAACTTTCTTATAAAACTTTTCAAGTTATTTTAACCGATAAACCATAGGTTTTAATCGATTAAAACTCAGTACAAAATTTTTCCAAGTTGTTTTAATCGGTTGAAATGCGTTTTAATCGATTGAAACAGATCTGATCGGTCATAATTCAATTCGATCGATCATAACCAACTCGATCGGTCATAACCGCATTCTGATCGATCATTCTGACCCTTTAAGTGATTTTAATCGATTGAAACGTGTTTTAATCGATTGAAATAAATTCGATCGCTCATGTTTCAAATTTGATCGGTCATAATGGGTTCTAAAAGGTTTTAATCGATTAAAAGCAATTTGTATCGATTAAAATACTGTAAAAACACTTCTTTAAACATTCTAAGTGATTTTAATCGGTTCTTTCAAAACTATATCAGTTAAAAACATTATTAAGAAAGCTTTTGTCAAAATGCTTTGTTTTTAATTGTTTAAAACGATTTTAGAGGCAT